CAAAGTTCCCTTAATTAAACGACCATGTAAGTATTTAAAATGAAGCGAATGCATAGAAAAGGTATTCACATTTTGGAGTAAGAACTGGGAATACTTTAAATAGCCTGTCCTATACCTTAATTTTTTAAAAAATACCTCGACCAATCGAATCCTGAGGGGTGTGGTCTAATTGAATTAGGTTCGCCGTCGAGTACTGTCTTACTTTCTCCACAATAACAACGAAGCAAGCATTGTTTTGCATATTCTAACATTTTTTCAGATTTCTTACATAAAAGGCAGCAGTAAAAATTGATTATGGATGCTTCTGACGACATGGATGATATGTTCGTCACACCCGATGTTAGGGCTCGCAGAAGACGACTCCACACAGAGGCTGAGCAGCGGAGAAGAGACGCTATTAAGGTTCAGTCAACTCATGTAGCATTACTGCTATTAAGAGAGGTTTTGATAATCTTTTAGAGCTTATTCACCCAGTTAAAGCCGATCCTGGAAGCTCGCTAATACGGATGAGCAAAGCAACTATTCTGAACAGATGTAAATGAATCTTACCTTTTTCACATTCTTTAAAGCTATCTCGCTGATCTTAAGATTGGCAAAGCAAAAATCACAAAAGCGAATGGAAATAGAAACTTTACAGAACAAAGTCAAGGCCCTACAGATCCTTAATTCGTAATTGCAATTGTCATGCTAATTTGCTAGAAACTATGAGCGAATTGCGGTCGCTAATTCCTACGCTTTTGACTCTTCAAATTCTGTTGTAACGGAGCCCACAAAGATCCAACTCTTTCAGCTCTTCATGGAGAGTTTATTTCAGTCATTTGATTCGGCCGTTTCTGCGTCCGAAATGGACCAGCTTTCCAGGCAAATTATTACTTGGATGGAGATAAGCTGTAAACCAGAGGTAATTTTTAACGTAGTCTCAACGGTTAGCTGGCGATTAACCTATTTTTCCTTCTACGTTTTACTTCTAATGTGATTCGTAATGTCTTGTTATTTCCTCTGCAAGTGAATTTGTGGTTTCCTGGCACCTGTTTTATGATTAGTTTAAGTTAACGAATAACAGCAAAAAGCTGAGGTGGAACCCTACTATTTTGTGTTAACATGGACTTTGCTCCCAAAAACGTGTGATTGGACAGCTAATAGCTCACGGAGTGCACAGCTAGACCAAAAATTGGTTGATACTTATATACATTTGCCTCAAACTTACCATAACTTCATACTGAATTACGAAAGGCTTTTGTCTAAGACTGTAAAAAAACTGCACGAGACTTTCGCTATTTGGTTTGCACTGAGTTCCCCGTTAGCCTAGTTTTTGACCACCTCGTGCGTCCACATATAGTGGATATTGTAACGACCTTCAATGAAGGTTAATTGCGATGCAAGCGGACTTTTAGTTCCGCCGAATAAGCGGTTACGTACCGTCAGAAACTGTGCTACCAAAGTACGCCGACTGTCGTAATGAATACCATAAAGCCCAATGACGGCACTTTGGCGTGGCAATCATGAGTTGGCACTAAATAAGTTCACTTTCCACCCTTGCCCTTCGACTAGATTCTTGAACCAAAGCTCTGGAGAAGACAACCTCAAACAAGCTTCTCAGCAGCTTTGAGGGACCCACCTGTACTACGAATCTTAAAACTCAGGAATGGGGCCGCTACGAGTGTTATGATCCATACTTACTTGTCCGCGATAACCGACACAATCCGTAAATTGAGACTAGCGGTGCAGGCAGAAGTATGTTGGCATTTGATGCTGCAATGTGCGAACGTTTCTTAACCCTGGCACCTAATGTTTGATGGTATGCAGCCATCAGTACAAAGTAAATCGCTTTTGCCTGTTCTCATTCTGAATTCCCGACTCACTCGCTTGATAAATAAAGACCCCAGGGGTAAACTTCAATTTCTCCTGTACCACAGCGGCCAACGCGACTCCTCTGGTGGACATAGTGTAGGGGTCACCCTCTTGAAATGAGCTAACTGCGCACCACTTGCGTGAGACCAAGTTTATGACCGGCAGGTGTCCGTGCGACCGAAGTGGCCACTTTCCAAACATTTCTATCGTGTCTATGTACGCAATTGAATCAGTATATCGGTATAAGGAGGCCTGGGAGATTTAGCCGAAACATATCTCCGTTATCCTCTGTTGTCGCGGATTGGAATGAGTGGAATGTCCCCGGCAACTCTTCAAACAGTCACCTTATTGGGCTTGGTTCTCGACATGAAAATTGTGCGAAAGTGCTGAAGCTTGCCGTCCAGAATTGGCTGTCATCAACGTTCACATTCTACGTCGCCACAAATGTCTTATGGCCTAGTATTCAAACGACGGCCGCACTACCAGTCCTGATCGGTTCACGATAGTAAACCAATGCGTGGTGCGAAACTCGCAACGCCTAAGGGCCAACCTATGTCCTTTTTGGCACACGCCCGACAGTTTTACCCTCACCGGCACCAAGGTTGTCGCGGGCAATACTTCTTAATTTTCATTCGTATTAATTGGAATTCAGGCATACCAAAAAGTGTAATTTGAACAAGAGGAGTTCTTTGGGATAAGGTAAGTTTTCGGCACTGGTTCCCCAGCTTGTCTTCAAACTAGAGAAATGAGCAACGAACAATTAGGATTTCAAACGTGCAGAAAAAAACCAGTAGTCATATGCAGTGAGCGCTGATTGGTAGCTATGGTTTATGTCAGTCCGTATTGCTCGGCCTTCGTTTCTTCCATTGTTCTTTGAGATTTATGTAAATTCCATCCAACTCTATGTGTCGGTTGATGCATAAATCATACGAATGCATAGCCTCAAGAAATTGTCGACCTTTTTTTGGTAGGGAAAACTCTGACGATGCGTGTTTTGTCCCATGCGAATCTGTGTCCTGTATCAAGGCCATGCATAGCCACTTCGGATAAATGGTCACGTCTTTTCACTGCTAGTTGGTGCTTGTAAATGCGTGTGGAGATGGACTTTCCTGTTTGACCACAGTATACGGTATCGCAAGCCTCCTCATAAGATCTTTTAGACGACTTCTTTCTTATCGAGCTAGCCAACCCTGTCCTTGGGGTGTACAAGCTGGGCACATAAAGTAGTCGTGGGTTTGTGTGCCGTTTTTATTTTATATTTCGTCATGTGCCTTTAGACGAGTTTAAACACGTTCTTTGTTTGTGGCTCCTGAGTGGAACTCTCTAGTGCCTTTCCTCTGGGTTGTTGTTGTTGTTTCATGCATCGGTGTACAAAATCTCGGAGGTAAGCATTGTGGGAAAACAAATGAAACAGATGATTTACCTCGACTCGGTAGGTTTCATCGTCAGAACAGTGTGTCTTCGCTCGACGTAGCATAGTGTTGACGGAACTTCTTTTGTGAGGGATGGGGTTGTTGCTCTCATTGTGAAGAATAATTTCCGCATGCGTGTCTTTGCGGTAAACGGACGTTTGGAATGTTCCGTTAGTTTTGCGTTGTACGACAACATTTAGAAGTGGGGGCTTATTTTTAATCTCCGCCTCGAACGTGAAACGTATTTCTGGAATGGTTGAGTTAATGATGTTGTGGAGCGTTTCTAGTTGGTCGTTTTCAAAGTCAATCAACGTGTTGTCTACATATCGTACCCGCAACCAAGGGCTAACTAATGGAAAAGCCGCCGACTCCAGCTTCTGCATTGTTACTTCCTCAAGAAATCCAGCTATGGGTAACCCTATTGGAGCTTTTTTTAACTGTTGATAGTGGTGGTGGTCGAAGGAAAAATGGGTTTCTAGACAAGGTCTACAAGTTCAAGTAAGGTAGCTGCGAGGACATTTGTTTTGCATGTCTTTAGGACTTCCTTCGTGCATTGTCTTGCCACATCTAGTGGTACAGAGGTGAACAAAGAAACAGCGTCCAAGGAGACCATTATCTCATCATCGAGGATTGCGGTTCTTTTTAGTTTCTCCAGAAACTCTGTGGAGTTCTGAATGGACGTTCCACAATCCTTCGTAAGTGTATAGAGTTGACGGAATAGCCACCTAGAACTTTCGTAATTTGGTGCACCAACTAATGGTACTATCAGTCGCAAGGGAACTTCGAGTTTATGAACCTTGGACACTCCGTAGATTTTGGTGACGGTTACTTCGGGTTGTTTCAGAAATTTGGCAATGTCGCCTGATAGTTGTTTTGTCCCTGTAAGGTACTTCAGTACTTTTTCAATAGATGACGTCTGTTTCCTGGTAGGGTCTGTAGAACGAGGCTTATAGGTTGAGCTACCTTCTTATGGTGGCAGCTTCTTTTGTTTGTAGTCTAATTTGTTCAAGATAGCTATTAAGCTTCCTTTGTCTGTGGGAAGAATGACAATATTGTCGTCAATTTTTGGGTTTTTAAGTGCTTTTTTCTTCAGGGAATAGTGATGAAAACTGATTCCGATATTTTAAGGTTTGGACAGTACTGTTTCGGATTGTAAACCGTTCATCTATCTTGAGGCCTGCTGTTGATAGGATAACCTCTAAACTAGCTAGGAAGTCCAAATAATTTGAATCAGAATGATAGTATTTCATCCCTATAGAAATCACGTTCTCCTTCGTTGCTGTAAGGGCTCTAGAAGAAAGATTGACGACGTTTGCTGCAGACTGTTGGATTCTATAAGTCGGTTGAGAAATAGTCTTCCGTTTTTTTGTCTAAGAGCATCCTTTTCTTTCGTCGTTAGAGTTCTAAAACATGGACAATTGTTTCATTCAGAAATCTAATTTTAATTGCTTGTTGCACATTCTCTCTAGTTTGAAGACGAACTGGGGAACCAGTTTCGAAAATTTACCGAATGCATTTATCTTGTTGTCCCAAAGAACGTATTCTCTTCAAAGTACTTAATGTTGACAAACTACCACGAATCACCAATTTCGAGTCCCTGAACGCAAAATCTAGCGCTTTCTCACTGTTCATGACCAAAGAATGACGCTCTCGTTCTCATCTGCAGCGAAGTTTTGCCTCAATTTAGCCTGTTAAATGTCAAATGACTCCTATTCTTAAGATGAAGTCGCAAATACAATACGGTAGTTGCACAACATCAAGACACATGAAGAGGACAATTTTCCTGCTATAAGTTTTGTGTCGGCACTGTGACACCCTAGTCGATTAGGCAAGCGTGGAGAAAGGTCGTTCCTGATGCCTGGTGCTCAGGCATCTGCGTGCCTGTCTTCAGGGTGGGAGGTAAGATGAGGTACAAGAAATACCGCCTTGCCGTTGTTGCAAGGGTCTTCGTCGCTGTTATTATTGGGCGATTGATGTTTTGTGCGTGACTGGAGATCGAGAGCTAATCAAGTGGGGTTCCGATTTAGGCATGAATGCACAGACCAAGTATTAACACTGCAGCGCATTTTTGCACGCTTCATTGATCACCGACTGCCGTCTGCTTGGTTGACTTCGCCGCAGCGTTCGATTTCATCAATTTTTAGCCCCTGGGACGGATTATAGGCCCAAACTAGACGTCGACAGAAATCACCGCCTTGAGCAAAACCTACTACCTTTCCACCACTTTGCGAATTATATTTGACAACAATCTCCCAGTTGATCTATATTCGATCTGGTGTTCGCCAAAATTGTAAATGTCACTCATTCTATTCACTTTTATCACTTTTATCTGAGGGACCCTACATGGTTTTAACAGTGTTACATTTGCACCTGGCCGCTCGCTGTCTTATTCAAACTAGTTTTAACCCTCAGTTATTGATAGGCAGTACTGTCTTTGATGAATGTAGTTGCTGAACGGAGGTGGCTTGAATCCATTTGTCATCAGTTCAGTTCAGTTTTATTAGGGAAATATAGGTAAATA